TTGTGTCTGTGTGATCCCCCTCGTTTTGGTGAAGCCAGGGTATAGGGTTAAGACTACCTGATAATGGCAGCAATAATCAATCTAACACACAGCATCACTGCACAACGTTCCGATTCGATTCACTCATGATTATTCAAGGTTAGTACACTCAACACAATACGCCAGCAGAAGCTACAAAGTTACAGGTACATACGGGAGTGACAGCTGTAAAATTATGGTTAGCGGGTCGGGTGTTGTCGCTAGCTTAGAAAAAAAGAAGGTTATAATGAGGGAATGATACAGGGCGTCGTCGTGTGTTGTCGCTAGGCCCAACATTCCAATTCGATTCACTCATGATTATTCAAGGTTAGTGCACTCAACACAATAAGCCAGCAGAAGCTATAAAAGTTACATCTACATACGGGAGTGACAGCTGTAAAATTATGGTTAGCGGGTCGGGTGTTGTCGCCAGGGCTAGCCTAGATAAAAAAGAAGGTTATAATGAGGGACGACGAAGTCGGGTGTTGTTGCCAGGGCTATCTTGAAAGAAGGGTGCAATCTCAAACATGTCATCCTTCTTCTATCTGTCTTTCTGCCGAGGAGGTATCGCAGCTCCCGCTGACTTAAAAAGGTGTGTGGATCACCTTTTCCACTGAACCAAAGTACGTACACTAACGCTATCTGCAGTACGATGGATTGGGCTTTACCGGTACGCACGTCGCAACCGGTAGCTACATGCGTACCGGTAAAGCTACCGGTATGCATCTCCAATGGGTGCGTGTTACAGTCGTACCGTATTTTCAAACCGTTCAGTGCCGTTTTCTCACACTGCGTCCGACGGATGCCGATCCCGTTTTGTCCGTGGTGGTCTGGGGCCCAACTTCAACTTTACCGGTCTAAGTTTACTGGGTTCGCAGAGCTGTTCGCAGCTAGTATGCTGTAGTAGCTAGCGTGCTGCTCGGTCGGAAAATTCTCACCTCATACTCGTCCGACCTAAAAGAGTCTCCTCAATCTCTCCATTACCATCCCTCTTCTTGTCCTTGCCTACCTCTCCTGTGTTGTCGTTGCTCCTATTGCTCCCAAGATAAGAGAGGATGAAGGAATCCAGCAGCAAAGTAGATCAGGGGAAGAAGTTAGACGCAGAAGTTGTCGGAGCTAGGCTCTGCGACGATGCATGCACAGATCAAATGGCAAAGGCCACAGATAGCACTCAAGATGACGAGGAACACCATGCTCTGATGCAAGTAGTAGCACTGGAAATCAATGAAGCAGACAAACTGAGCAAGAACGGTCCAAGTGATACTAATGCTGCCCCACCTATGGTAGTCTCTCAAGGAATTCCTTCCACAAACAATGATGCTAGTGTCGTACATGTACCGGTACAAGAAGACAGTACACCACAAAACCAACAAGACGATATCCAGCCAACTATGTTGAGGCGAACCAACCCCTATCAAAGACAACTAGAATCTCAACCGGGAGCCTACTTGGGAGCGCCGGGAACAGGAAACTTGGAACGCACCACTACTTTGGATTATGCCCTTCTTGAGGCTCAACGTCGACACAATAATGCCACAGCAGACACCACCACCAACAACAACAATGCAACAGGCAACCAACAGTTGGCCGTGACTAACATGGTTGTAGAAGAGGGGCAAATGATTCCATCAGCACATCCCGTCAACCTACAACAAATTCAACAAAGAGAGCAAAACCGAAAGGCCAAAGAGAAGCTATTTGTTGCAGCTATGATTTGGTTGTGCCTTGTTGCTACCATTGTTATTGGGTTTGTGGCTGGCTCCCAAAAGCAAAAAGAACCAGTGCTCATTGCCTCAACAGAAACGCCAACTGTATATGGATCCATGGAGCCATCGAATGTCCCATCCTTTGCCCCGACTGGGGTTCTGGATGAACTGCTGGATAAACTACCTGAATACACTCTTGCCAGCATGAACAATAGCAGTGACACACCTCAGTGGAAGGCGTGGAACTGGCTTGACAATCACCAGAATATCACATACTTGCCAGAGTGGAGGAAAACTCAGCTCTTTGCTCTCGCAACCTTCTTCTATTCCTTTCAGGGAGAGCACGGGAACCCTCTGATCAAGGAACGTTGGATGGATTATGAAAGGACGAATGTGATTGGTTCTCCGGTGGGACTGGATCGATTGATTACAATGGAAACTATAGCAACACCTGAAGCATCTGCAACCTTACCTTGCAACAGCCAAAGGCGATTTACAATGCTCGATCTTTCAGGCCTTGAGGTTGATGAATTCCTGCCAGTTTTCCCGCCCGAAATTACCCTCTTGACTAGCTTGTCCCAGATTAAATTCCGGAGTGGTCATGCTCCAATATACGGGATTTCAACACATCCCACGGCATTTTCTTTCCTGTTTGCTTCCAGAAGAATTCTACAAGATGCCAAGCTTGGAATTTCTGTGGATTTGGAGTGTCCACGGTACCGGCCAACTTCCCTCCAAGTGGGACAAGTGCCAGCTTTGACTACCTAATTGGAAGTGAGCTGACTGGACCAATCCCGTTCGAGCTAGGACAACTTTCATCTTTGCAATATCTGAGTTTGTCGCTCGGTGAGTTGCCTGGTCCAATCCCTTCTCAGCTGGGACAATTGACTGCTTTGACACACTTGAATGTGGCCCTCAATCAGCTTACTGGGCTCATTCCTTCTGAGCTTGGACTGTTGACTTCTCTGGATTTCGTTTTTAATCAGCTTACTGGGTGCATTCCTTCTGAGCTCTTTCAAATGACAGATTTGTCCAGGGTCCACTTAAGTGGGAATCAGCTGACTGGCCAGGTTGCTTCCGGGCTTGGACTGTTGACAAGCTTATCTTGGCTTGATGTGTCTGAGAATCAGCTGACTGGCCAGCTTCCTTCCGAGCTTGGAATGTTGACAAGCTTTGCTCGGCTTTTGCTGTCTGAGAATCGCCAGCTTCCTTCCGAGTTTGGAATGTTGACAAGCTTTTTTCGGTTTTTGCTGTCTGAGAATCAGCTGACTGGCCAGCTTCCTTCCGAGCTTGGAATGTTGACAAATTTGCGTGTTCTGAATCTAACTGGCAATTCTGAGTTGTCTGGCACTGTCCCTGAGGACCTCTGTTTCTTGCAGAATGCCTCCTGTATATGGTATCAGGATGAGCAGTGCGTTCTTGGCTTTGATTGTACCTCCATGTTTTGTGGCTGTGATTGTCCCTGTTTGAATTGATAAGGAGAACATTATCCATTTTAATAAAATATACTATGCATTTTTGATTACATGGAAAGGACCTGGAGCAGTTAAATTGTCTTTTGGCTGAATGATTCAAAGGTCAATCCTTCTGTCTATCTATGCAGTAGCAATACCACTAGGCAGTGATCCTTCCAGAATGTTGTTGTTCAAAGACCAGTGAAAACTGTTGAGATGGAAGACGAGTTCTTAGCCTGTTGGTGCGGACCATGAACTTGTCTGTTTCAGACCTGCTAGCTAGCTTGCTGGCTAGGAACCCGTCATGAAAAAGATTAAAGCAGCAGAGCAGGAATTGAGAGGATAATAACCATCAGAGCTGGAAAACACTGGCATTTCATTATCGCTGAAACTTCTCCTCCGCACTGAAAGGAATATCTTGGTTGCAACTGTAGACTGTTGAGATGGGAGACGAGTTCTTATGGCATCTCTTTTTTCTTCTTCTTATCCTCGCGGTGCGGACCATGAACTTGTCTGTTCAGACCGGATATCGGCGACCCAAAGGAGAGAGGGCATGGGCTGCGCACGAGGTAGAGAATTTGTCCTCAAAGACTCCTCAGTGTCGACCAAACGAACACAGAACAAAAAGGACGCTGCCATTCCAAACTGGAGCTGCAGAACATATTCTTGTAGAATGTACAGTAAGAATAGAATAACCTAACGACTACAGCGTACGACAAAAAGAACACAGCCTGTTGTACCCAGGATAAAATAAATATAGCTATTATCCAAGGCATTGATTGAACCGTTACATGTTTCATTCTTGTGATTTTTGTTGTACTGAGTGAGGTGAAATATTTTTTCGTACCACCTTGATTTGATTTTTTCGTGACGGAACAAGTTCTTCTGAGCGTGTCACGTTCTGTTCTGTTCGATTGTGTTGTGTGTCCATTACTGTAGTGATTTTGTTTTTTGGTTTCCTGAAGTGTTGAGAATGTTTGTGAAAATGTAGAATTGCCTTGTTGGCGGAATGATTGATTGATGCATTGATTTTGATCGATCGATGATACTGTATTGAACAACAAATAAGTATTGGTGGATTCGATTCCGTTCTGTCAAAAAGAATTGAGAGCGAGAAGAAGAAGACGAATCCTCATGTCCATTTTACTGCGGCACTGTTGTGCTAGTAGAAGGATGGCCCGATTGTAGCATTTTTGGTGGGTGGCGGGTGCTGACGGAGTAATTCAAGCTACACAGTAGCAACAGCGCTGGTACACCTGTGGAGTTTGAGGGAACTACGCTTGCGGTGCGGTTGTTGGGTGTGCTTAGAGTAGCGCTGGGGGTCGAGAAGGTCTGGGAGCAGGCGCGAATTTTGGGAGTTTTCCGTCGTAGATTTGGTAGAAACCGCGCTAATTTCCGGCTGGTTTGGGGTAGAGTTGGCGGAATTTCCGGCGGAAACAACCTTGGGGGCTGCGGCAGAATTAGTGGAAACGCCTGGTCGTGGCGGCTGTGCTGTGGTTGTAGCATTTTGGCTCGTGGTGGTAGCTGCCTTGGGCGGAATCACTGGGTTTGATGGAATAACCTTTGGTGTGATTTTTGGCACAGCGCTGCTTGGCCATTGCTGCTGGGCGGGAAATTTTTACTACTGCAGTAGCGGCGCCACGAACTACTGCTGTACTCTGCTGCGCCGTTGTGGTGGGTGGAGCGTGGTATCTAGGACTGCCAGTGGGGGTGACTTTTGGCGGGTACTTGGGAACCATCACGGTTGGTTGGATGACCTTTGGTGGCACGGTAGAAATATTCTTGTGGACTGCTGTAGCAGGTGCATAGCTCACATTTGGAGTCATCTTTGGAGGCGCAGGATGACAGCGACTCTTTGTGCTACCGCCACTTTCTGACTGGTAGGACTTCCCGTGGGTGTCACTTTTGGAGGCATTACTGGGCACTTCAAGACCGTCGTATTCTGTGCCATATTGGATGGAACAGCTGTACTCTTTGCCGGAATCACAGTGACATTGGGCGAAGCCGTCGTAGCACGAACGACGGTCGTCTTTGGCGGAACCACTGCTGCCTTTGGAACCACGGCAATCTTTGGCGGAACAACTGCCGCCTTTGGTGGAACCGATGCTGTAGGCACCACAGCAATTTTCGCGGGCGCCACTGCCGCGTTCGGGGAACGAGCCGTTGCAGGAACAACTGCTGTCTTTTGTTGGGGAACCGCAGTCGTCTTTACAGGAACTGCAGATGCAGGAACAACTGCTGTCTTTTGTGGGGAACCGCAGTGCTCTTTGCGGGAAAACTCTGCGTTTGGTGAAACAGATGCTGTTGGCACCACTGTACTCTTTGCAGGAACCACGGCCGCATTGGGAGAGACAGAGGATGGCGTCGTCTTGGCAGGAACCACCGCCGCATTGGGAGATACCGCCGTAGTATTTTTGGGTGGCAACACCACCACGGGAGTATTACTCTTGGGGGCCGCCCGGACATACGTGACGGCGGACTGGCTAGTAGTAGTCGAGTTGTTGGCCGTCGGTGCGGGGGCAATGGCGGCGGGTCTGCTGCTAGTAGTAGGAGCCGTAGTAGTAGAGTAGTGGTTTTTGTCTTGGGAGCAATGGCCGTGGTGGCGGGACGAGTCGTCGCGGGATACCCCTTGGCCCCAGGATGCGCCGCTGGAGGATAGCTGTATCCAGAAGCTCCCTTGTGTCCTGGATGGTGTGGGTGATGAGCAGGATGATGCGGGTGATGAGGATGATGATACGGTGGATATGTGTACCGTCCGTCCTTGGTAGTGTTTCCCTTGTTGCTGTTGTTATTGGGAGATCCGGAAGCAGCAGCCGCAGCGGCAGCGTGATGATGGTGGTAGTGGTGGTAATAGCTACTATAGCTGCTAGACGCGGTACCGTTCTTGGAGGCAGCTTGACCGCTGTACGGAGGAGGTGGTGGATACGTGTAGGCAGCGGCAGCAGCACCCTTGGTGTTATTGGTGGTGGGTCGAGGATACACGGTTGGCTTGGGAGACGACGTGGGAGACGTGGCCGCATTGGGGCTCACACTGGGAGGACCCACGGGTGTAGTGGAGACCAAGCGAGGCGCCTTATTATTGGCAGCGCCCGTTGTGGACCTCGAGGCTGCTCGGGGCGGCGCCTTGGTAGTGGTGGCCTTTGCCGCCACGGCGGTCTTGGGCAAGACGGGTGTGTGAGTCTTGGTTGCAGTCGGAGGCGCCTTGGGCTTGGGGAGCACCGGAGTGTGAGTCTTGCTACCCGCCGCCGATTTGGGAAGAATCTTGGTGCTGGTATTCTTGTGGTGCGCCGCCGCGGCGGCGGCCGCTGCCGTACTCATCTTTGGCTTTGCGGTAGTGGGATGCTGCTTTCGAGGAGGTGGTGGATGACGATGATGATGGTAACATGGACTACCATGATGATACAGATACGTCTGCACCTGTCGTGTCGACTGTTCGACCGAGTTGAGAACCTTGGAAACGGACTTGGATCGTTCGTACTTTTCTGTCTTGGGGGTCTTCATGTGCAACGATCTGCGTGATTCCTGACTCCGACAAATAGATTCACTCAATTTTCGCAAGGATGTTCGAAACTTTTGTGCATCAATGGGTTTGCCACTGGTATCGTTGGGGACACCAACGGGACTGGCATGTTTGACGCTCGAAGGAGGCGGTGTCGTGGCCGTGACTGGCGGTTTGGCAGTACTACTAGTCGTAGGAGTTGGTTTTTTGGGAGGCGTGGTTGTCTTGGGAACGACCGGTTTTTTGGTCGTCGTAGTAGAAGTTGCTGCTGTAGTTGCTGCAGACGCAGGAGTAGAATTTTGTTTTTTGGTGGGTGGTGGTGGATGAGCCGTTGGTGCTGTGCCCCTGTTAGTACTACTAGAATTACCCCCATGAGCCACTTCGGCCGACCGCTTGGTCCCCGCGGTCGCGCCTGTGGTTCTGGCTGCTGTTGGTGGTGATGATTTATTGGTATTGCTGGTGCTGGTGCTGTGGGTAGATGTAGATGGAGTGGTAGAAGTGGGACGGGTAGAATTAGGAGGATGTGGTGCCGAATACCCTGGATGTTTGTATCCCGGATGGGGTTTGTAATTGGGAGGATACTTGTAGCCTGGATGATGAGGCTTGTAGTTGGGTGGATATTTGTAATTGGGAGGATAAGCATAATAGGGCGTCGTGGTACTGGTACCAGCTGCTGGGGGCTTGCCATTGGCAGTTGGTTTGGAATATGCTAGGGTAGCTTTTTTGGTTGTTTTTGGCTTGGCTCTGGATTTGGGACTGTTGGTAGTGGTGGTGGATGTACTACTGGTAGTGGCAGGAGGAGTAGTGGTCACTGTAGAAGAAGGAGAAGAGGCAGCTACTGAAGGAACTGGAGATCTCCTGGCTTTTGGCTTGGGATGATGGTGTTGTTGTTGGAGTTGTTGAGGATGCTTGGGAGGGATAATGGCACAAATTTGATGTTTGCTGGTTACCGTTTGAGGAGTTGGGATGGTGGGAGCTGTAGTAGTAGTATTAATAGAAATAGAAGAAGAAGAAGAGGGGGTAGCAGTAGGAGTGGTTTGACTTCTGTAGGTTGCCATGGAAGGAGGGGGCCTAGGGATATTGGAAGAAGAGGAGGATTCAGGGACATCAGGAGTGGAATTGATAATATTGTCATCTGTGGGATAAGAAAAAAGAGTCAACTCCTTATCATCCAAGCAAGTATTGGAAAAGACAAGGTCATCCAAGGCACTCGTCGGAGATAAGCAGGGATCATCATTGGAAAAGATTTTTTCATCCAATAGCAAATCTTCTCCCAATTGCACATCTATCTCCATGATCTCATCCACCACATCGTCCAACGGCGACACGGGTTTACTGCGCCATTCCTCTAATAGCACCTTGCTGCTACTGGTCGTCGTTTCATCGGGAATTTGAGTAGGGCCGTCGACGGCATCCAAAAGATCAAACTCAGGGAGGTCGGGTAGCTCCACATCCATACCATCGTCTAAAAGATCTATCATCATCACCACTATCTAGCTCTAGCTAGTAGACTAATAATAAGTGTGATGCCTTAGATCAGGAGGAGATCAGGTTGGTGGTGTCGTGCTTGGCTTCAACAGGTCGTATGTATGTTTGTATGTATGTATGTAAGTAAGTAAGTAAGTGAAGCTTGCTGTTGCTCTGTGTGCTTTATTGGAAAAGATTGCAGTGATATTTTTGTAGCGTTCAGTTCAGTGGGCTGTATGTACTCCAGTAGTCGCTTGGGAGAAGGAAGCCTCTGGTCGCTACAAAAGCACGAGCGACGGGTTAAAAGGGGGCTGACAAGGCGTATCCAAAAATCCAAAATCCAACCATCCATTTATTTTCAAGCACAGCTGTCCTCAGTGGACAAAGAATCAAGAATCCCAGTAGGACTTGCACGTACCGGTAGTAGACCAACCATCCAGTAAGGTGCGCAAGATACCTATTTACATACCACGTACTGGCGGGCTCGTACTACTGGTACATGTATGTAATAAATCCCAAAAGCGACTCCCAGCAGCCAGGTTTGTGCAAGGTTCACTGAGCGTAAAAGGCGCTGAACAACGCGGTTTGGCTTCTTTTCGTCTTTTTCATGAACGCTGGCAGCTGATCACAGCTGAGGATGAACCACTATTAATAGGGATAAAGGCTCGAGCAAAGGCTTCCGAGCTGTGACCATCGAACGGCTTATTGAAATAATAATTGGTGGAAGCATGCACAAAGGATGCAGCAATAAAGGAATTATTACAGACAGAAGGCAAGAACATTCCTATGAAGGCAAACAGCTTTTAGCAACGATAATAAATCCTGTCGGCATCTTGTGACAACAAACAGTGTCCAAGCACAATTTACATGATTTTAGGGAGGGTTTTGACGTGGTTTGAAACATATCTGTTTTTGTGGTGGCGTTTTTGAAGGTTGGTTTGGACGGCACTTTTTGTATGTACTGGCTGCCATAGCATCCAACCCCAGACACAGGTTTATCAAATTACTAGCTAGATAGCTACTATTAATAGTAGCTAGACTCGCCCTTATCGGTAGGCAAAGAATCATTTTGTGTGTCAACAGTCCTTGCTGGTTCTATAGAGGCAGCGTGCATAACATGGGATCCAAATCTAAGGCAGTGGCTCTGAAGAACATGGACACAGCACTTGGAAAGTTGGAATAAATGATAAAGACTTCCTACATCTCAGGACAATCATGGGTGTGGCTGGCTTCCATTCAAGCAACATTAAATTTTGGAGTTGAGCGTAGGTTCATATTTTAGCTCGGATATTTACATAAAGGGTGAACAAAATTTTCTCTTCATATCCACATAAAACCGGTCCAGTTTTCAGCAGAAGAGGGGCACTGTGGAAAATAGGAATGGAGGATCACACCATCACACCACTCACCTTCCTGGTTGCGTTCAACTGGCCTGTATGCAGGATTGGAAAGCAAAATTTCGGAGTTTTGTCATCAGCTTGTTGTCCTAGTCCCGGTTTATCTGTGGTCGTCTGCTTAAATCTATTTGCCGTTGTTGTTCCAAAATCAATGATCGAGGTGAACTCGTGGACCGGCAACCCTTCTATTCTGATGATAGTGACTTCGAGTGGAGTGGTCGATAGTCGCCCATAATAAGTCCTTGATGGCATCTTGATAAATTCTATTTGCTCCGCTGCAAAATAATGACTTAGCAAAGCTCTACAATTGCCATCTTCTCATCTTCTCCTTTGTTTTCGGCAATTCATGGACTTACAGCAATTGAGAAAGCTTCCTTTGAGAATTTGAGGGAACTTTGGAACTTTGTCTGCACAGAGGCTGGTGCGTCATCGCTTCAGCAGTTGCTGAAGCCAAAGATACCATGTGATACCAGCCAGCACAGATCTAAGAGGATCTTTTTGAGCGGATCCACCTTGCCTGGCCACCGGCACAGTGTACCTTGCTACTAGTAGTAGACTGCAGCTGCTACCACGACATGTCGTAGTCCAGGATTTCTTTCTGTGGGCACTGCACCTCCCGCTAAAGAGGTGAAGACATGAACTTTCTGCTCTAACTTAGCTAGCTAGCCACCGGTACCAGGTAGCAAGAAGTTACGCCTTTCTGGCAAGGGGGTTTCTGAAGTCGGGGGTGAGTGCTCTGCATCAGCTAGCCAGTTGTGCGGCGTGGCTGCATTGAAACTATTATCATTTCTTTTGAATGGAGTCTCATTGTCGCGTTTCTTGTAGTTGGTGATGGCCATGCGCATACTTACTTGTTGTGCTACATGTACTGCCATTCTTATTCTGTGCTTGTCGCAAATTGCACCCTTGCCACTGCGTCAAAACTGAGATTATACTTGGTTTGAGCAGCCAATGCATTTCTTGTCAATGAAATGTTGCCATCCCCATCCACCGGCAGCGGAGCCTTCTTGCATGCCACAAGAATGGCATTGCCTCCAGTGGGCGTGCTATCCAGTGACGGAACCCAACAACAGTGGGTCTCACCAAACACGGCAGAAACAGCTTGGAATGCGTCCGCCATGACCCGTGTACGTCGTTTACCGCCACTGTGAAAGTTCCAAACCAGCAGACCAGCAGATGCCAAAACCTCTTTCCGGAGTCGTTGCAAGAAGCTCGTTGCATAAAGCGTTTCTGGAACAAAATTATTCTCGTCAAAGACATCAATGCAAATGGAATCAAACCGCTCGTGGGGTGGTATAGTAGTACCTGCCTGCACATACTGGATTGCATCTTGCGCAATAATGGATACGTTTGGCAACTCATCATCATGATGCATTCTTGTAACTGTTGCTGCGTCCACAACCGCTTGATCCAATTCCACTGCTACATGCTGACTGTTGCTGGCGTGATGAGCGAGCAAGCGCACAAGCGTCCCGGCTCCATATCCGAAATGAAGGAAACGAAGATCCTTTTTATCCTGTGCATCATCTGATTCTGCCATGAGACTCAAAACAGCCATGGTTTTGAGATGTTCTTGAATGACAATTTCGGGTTCCACACGGCCAGTGTTGGGATTGACTTTGTAGATACTGTGGTAAATGCTGGAGACTTTGCTACGAGTAGACTTTGATTTTGGCTTGACAAACCTCATGGTTCTCCATCCTTGTTCCCTCTGGCAAACTTCAATGGTAGCCTCTGGGTCCATGGACGACATTTGCGAAAAGATGAGCTCGGAGGAATCCGCCGTTGTTTCCCGCCATGATTTCATGGCAGTGGCATGGAAAGGGGCATCCAACGGAGGTGATCCAATCGCGGCATGTTGCAGCAAGGATACAATGCCAGAATTGCTGGAATAGTATCGCGTTGTATACTTGGGCTTGGCGGTTTGCCAGAGCACCTTGGCATCCAAAAAGGCTGCTTGTTGCTGCTGCTGCTGTGGCGGTACAAGCATGTACAGCCGCTCCACCCCGGCATCAAATACGGGGTATAAATGATCCTTGGCCAGTCGCTGGTATGCTTGCGTTGGGTTTGACAGGTTGTTTAAATCCATCAAGGTATCTTTGGAGAGTCCTAACCTTGGTCTTAGCCCGGATTGTCGTTGTCGACGCTGGACCTCTTCATCTTGATTGTCATTATCATGCTGCAATCCGGCTCCGACCAAGTATCGCCGTTGCCCCGGTTCGTTTGGGTTGACTGCCATGACCAGAGGATCCAATATGGACATGGTTTGAAACGGGAGTGAGGCTTCCCAGCCAGTGGCGGCTCCCCAATCTCTATCCACCATGGTGACAATATCCATGGGTATATTGTTATTGTTGTTATGGTCGGCTTGGCGGTCTCGGACAAACTGTTTCAAAAGCTTGGAAATTCCTCCGACGACTGTACTGTCCTTTTGCGAGCAATATCGTATCAGTTCATACGAGTGAAAGGTTTCATTGTACAATTGTAGCTGTTGCTGATTGTCGTCTTGTTGCTGGTTCGTGATATTATTAATAGTAGTATAATTGCACATTCGTTGCACTTTGCGACACTTGGAAAAGGTTGCCACGGCCACGAGTTCCTCTTTCAGAAACAATCCATAATAATACCTCGCCTTGGTGGCACCCCACAAATGGTTTGCCGTTAGAAATGCCCTGGCATTCGTGGCGTTAAAACGGCGTGCGGTGGTTTTGCGGGCAAAAATACGTTTGGGAGCTTTCGCCAAGGATTGCACGAGCAATCGGGCCTTGCAAATGTCGTGTTTATGAATCCAAATGTCCTCGTGGAGGTGGATCACTTTTCGAAAACTGCTGCTGCTAGTCAGTGTGGTCCACTCGGTCAGTTTGCGATTCAATGTGGGTGGCAGAGATTCGTCCAACGATTTTGGTGTGGGAATCAAATGAAGGAGAATGGAGGACTTTTCCAACTCGACAAAGGTGCTTGTTTTGCAGTGATTCGTCCAGAGAACCGGAATTTTGTCATGGGCAAACTTCCATGATATACCTTCGGAATCGAGCCAACGAAGGACTTGAGAGGCGTAGGGGTTACTGGTACCGGTTTCAATAATGGAGGCAGGACGAGCTACCGTTGCAGTCTGGAGAACCGTAGTAGAGGACAGAGCAAGCGACAGTGCCAACCCACTCAAATGCAACAGGATTAAGATTATCCTTCTCATATCATCTGTGCTGTAGTACTGGTACTTGGCTCTGCTGTCAGGTTTGCGTCCTTCATGTATTGTAACTAGTCTATGCATACCTCGCAGGTTTGTCCTTGACGCCTGGAACGTGTTGTTGCTGCCATTGTTTTCATTGGTGGAACTGACGTCAGTCATGAAAGCTCTTGACACCAATGACGTCATACATATTGAGACAATGCGCGGTCGATGTGAATGATATGTCTGCTTTACGCTCTGGTAATCAGTCTACGTAGGATCCTACGCATTTCGTCTAATGTACGTACGGTGGTGTGGGCTCGAGGTCCCGGTGGCGAACTAAAATTCTGCACCTTGGTGAAATGGGCTCATCGATCCCGCCCGCCCACCAAAATGACCCAAACTTCACAACTCACCACAACTCCAAAGTACTGTGTAGAGTAATCTTCAAGTAATAAGAGAAGTCTTCGAGTCATCGCAAGGAGCTAGCTAGCTATCTGGCTGGGTTGTCCAACCTTTACTAAAAGAGTCTCCTCCATCTCTCCATCTCCACATCCTCTGCTTGTTCTTGCGTCCCTCTCCTGTGCTGTCGTTGTTCCTATTGCTTCCAAGATGGAATCCTGCAGTGAAGTAGATCAGGGGAAGAATGTAGACGCAGAAGATGTCGGAGCTCGGCTCTGCGACGATGCAGACACTGATCAAATGGCAAAGGCCACAGATTGCACTCAAGATGATGAGGAACACCACGCTCTGATGCAAGTAGCGCTGGAAATCAATGAAGCAGACAAACTGAGCAAGAACACTCCCAGTGATAGTAATGCTGCCGCACAAGTCCTAGTCTGTCAAGGAATTCCTTCCACAAACAATCATGCTAGTGTCAAACATGTACCGGTACAAGGAGACAGTACACCACAAAATGAACAAGACGATATCCAGCCAACTATGTTGAGGCGAACCATCCCCTATCAAAGACAACTAGAATCTCGACCGGGAGCCTACTCGGGAGCGCCAGGAACAGGAAACTTGGAACGCACCACTACTTTGGATTATGCTCTTCTTGAGGCTCAACGTAATAATGTCACAGCAAACACCACCACCAACAACAACAACAACAATGCAACAGGCAACCAACAGTTGGCCGTGGCAAATATGGTTGTAGAAGAGGGGCAAATGATTCCATCGGCAGATCCCGTCAACCTACAACAAATTCAACAAAGAGAGCAAAACCGAAAGGCGAAAGAGAAGCTGTTTGTTGCAGCAGTGATTTGGTTGTGCCTTGTTGCTACCATTATTATTGGGTTTGTGGCTGGCTCCCAAAAGCAAAAAGAACCAGTGTTCATTACCTCAACAGAGACGCCAACTGTATATGGATCCATGGAGCCATCGGAGGTGCCATCCTTTGCCCCGACTGGCGTTCTGGATGAACTGCTGTCTAATCTACCTGACTTCACTCTTGCCAGCCTCAACAATGGCAGTGACACACCTCAGTGGAAGGCGAGGAACTGGCTTGCCAATCACAAGAATATCACATACCTGCCAGAGTGGAGGAAAACTCAGCTCTTTGCTCTCGCAACCTTCTTCTATTCCTTTAAGGGAGAACACTGGAACCCTCTGATCAAGGAACGTTGGATGGATTATGAAAAGGACGAATGTGATTGGTTCTCCAGTGGGACTGGATGGTTTAATCAAGATGGAAAGTATTATAAACAACCTGAAGTATTTGCAACCTTACCTTGCAACAGCCAAGGGCGATTTACTATTCTCAAACTTTCAGGCCTCAAGGTTGATGCATTCCTGCCAGTTTTCCCGCCCGAAATTACCCTCTTGACTAGCTTGTCCCAGATTGACTTCATAAGTGATCATGTGCCACTGAGAGGGTATTCAACACATCCCGCGACATTTTCTTCCCTGTTTCCAGAAGAATTCTACAAGATGCCAAGTTTGGAACTTTTGGACATTAATGGTGTCCACGGGACCGGCCAACTTCCCTCCGAGTTGGGACAATTGCCAGCTTTGACTCACTTGGAGATACATCGATGTGAGTTGACTGGACCAATCCCCTCCGAGCTAGGACAACTTTCAGCTATGGAATATCTGAAGTTTGTGCGGAGTGGCCTGTCTGGTCAATTACCTTCAGAACTTCTTCAGTTGACTGCTTTGACTCATCTACATATTCTTGATAATGTCACCGGCCAAATACCCACTGAGCTAGGACAACTTTCTGCTCTGAACTGGTTGCAGTTGTCGTCGAGTGAGTTGTCTGGTCCAATCCCTTCTCAGCTGGTACAATTGACTGCTTTGAGAACAATGTACTTGTCCGGCAGTCTTACTGGACTCATTCCTTCTGAGCTTGGACTGTTGGCTTCATTGACTTCTCTGAGTTTCAATTTTAATCAGCTTACTGGGCGCATTCCTTCTGAGCTTGGACTGTTGACTTTCGTGAGTAATAACCTGGGTTTGATGCACAATCAGCTTACCGGCCCCATTCCTTCTGAGCTCTTTCAAATGGTGGATTTGAAAATTTTAATGTTATCTGATAATCAGCTGACTGGCCAGCTTCCTTCCGGGCTTGCATTGTTGACGATGTTGAAATCGGTGGCTTTGGTGGGGAATCAACTGCATGGGCCAATCCCTACGGAAATTGGGCAATCGACTGATTTGAGAACGTTACGCTTAACTGGGAATCAACTGCATGGGTCAATCCCTTCCGAGCTTGGAATGTTGACAAGGTGTCTTTGGCTTTTGCTGTCTGAGAATCAGCTGACAGGCCAGCTTCCTTCCGAGCTTGGAATGTTGACAAATCTGGATTCGCTGGCACTTGATGAGAATCAACTGACTGGCCAGCTTCCTTCCGAGCTTGGATTGTTGACAAATTTGGGTGTTCTGGATCTAACTGGCAATTCTGGGTTGTCTGGCATTGTCCCTGAGGACCTCTGTTTCTTGCAGAATGCTTCCTGTATATGGAGATGGAGTCGGGATGGGTGCGTTCTTGGCTTTGATTGTACCTCCATGTTTTGTGGCTGTGATTGTCCCTGTTTGAATTGATAAGGAGAACATTATCCATTTTATATATTGCATTAATTGTAATTACATGGAAAGGACTTGAAGCAGTTAATTGTCTTTTGGCTGAATGATTCAATGCATGGTCAATCGTTCTGTCTATCTACATAGCAGTACTAGGCAGTTCGCCAGCAATCTCCAACGGTACGCCCGAATTGAAGACCAGTGAACCTTCTTCATATTATAATGCATCACACTGTTGGATGCAGCGTCTTGTGCATGAGAAAGGCTGACAGCAGATTGACTGCCGTATGAGCGACTCGTCAAGTTTCCTAACCTGCTCGACTGGTCTAGCTAGCCAGCAGACGGCTTTCTTGAACAAGGAAGCCAAGGGTGAGAAGTCTGTGCCTGCTAGACCAGTGGGCTTTGACACCTGTTGGGGCATTTCAACGGAGGAGAGGCTATAACTTCATGAAGTCAAAGGCAATGCTGGGGACAGCCGAAACAGTCCATACAGAGCCACCATCCTCGGGCCGGTTTTGGAGCAAATGACATCCTGAACCTGTTGTTTTGTCCGTGTCAACGTACGGTAGCTCGTCGCCCGGAAACCCCATGGATTCTCATAGAAAAACACATACTCTGCCGGTGCCGAGGCTTGCTCCAACGTGGCGGATGATGATTCGAATACTTTCGGCGGCGGCTCATCGAAGTATGATAGGCCGTGCGATGTCCAAATGGTGTACTTATGTCGCTTATTCTGGTTCCTGTTGGCAGAGGACGGTTTTCGAATGCTTTTGGAGTACTTGTTCTCTGGGAGCGGCTCTGAGGTTGGTTGCGATTTGTGCTGTCCGAAACCCAGGGACTCACTCACTGGTCTACAATCATCCAGTCCGAGTTCCTGCAGGGTGTCTAAAACGGTGCTGGACACAGATGAAACTGCGAACTCTCTTCACCAATCGTCATTAGCATCGCCATAGTGCAAGCAACGAAACCCTCCAGCCAAAACTTCGTCCGGGCGCGCATATTCTCCTTTGCATACTCCTAGGGATTGTTATGGTAGAGCAGACACTCCACACGCAGGTTCGGCTCGTGCAATGTAACAAAGGACGAGTCAAATTCGAAGCTTGGCGTACCATCACAACGGTAGCCCTCATTAGACCTTGCCCAGACCGCGAATTGTAGTTTGTGATCCTTTCGAGGTGTTCGCCGTTGGGTTGGCGAACGTGCAGAGGGAACTTCCGCAGCTCTTGCTCCTTTTCTCTCGCTCGCTCTTCTTCTTCTTGCCTTTGCAGCTTTCGGCGAAACGCCGCTCTCTTGCGCCTTTCTTCTTCTGCCCCTTGCCATTGTCGGTGGAGCGCCTCATCTGTTGCCTACCGGTACGTCGATCAATCACAACTTGTTGCTGTCTCGTCAGCTCTGCGAGCCTTTCTTCCTCTGTTGGCAAAAGCTCGATGTTGTGGCAAGTCTCGCAAATGTCCCAATCACAGCGTTCGCAACTCCTGAAAGCATTTCCCGTGCAAATCTGTTCATGTTCTACATCGCACTGGCCCACTTGACTGCGAAAGTTCACACGCGCTGGGACGCACCAGCTATTCTTCATCGTTTTGGGGGCTTGCAAGCGACACGATTCCGCGAGAGGATGGGCGTGGTATCGACAGTGACGCCAATGAAATACCGTAGAAGCCGCGTCAGCCTTAGCCTTTCTCTCGATGGCTTCCTGGGCATTCTTTTCTTTGTGCTCCGCAGAGTTCTGCAACTCGGTGCCGATCCCAAGCTGTTCCAAAAACCAATCCTTTTTCTTGCAGGAGATACCCTTGACTTGAAGATTGCGAGTTTGGAGTTCTTCTTTGAGTTGGGCAATTGTCATGGTTGCTGAAACGACCGGGACGGTTGTTGCCATCATCGATTAAAACAACCTCAGATTCCTTCTTGACCTTCTTTTTGGATGGTGCTGGTTTTCTCTTGCTGGAAGCAGCGGGCCGTTTCGTTGATTCAATCTCCGTCTCTTGCTTTGTGCGTGAGGTCGATTCAACCACGAAAGGTACTGCCGACTATTCTCCTGTGTCTTTCTTCGTTGGTTTTCTCTTTCTTCACATTGGCAGATGGAATAGATGCTGCCTCCGTGTCATCATCAATGGAAATAACCTCAGCTTCCCTCTTGATTTTTTTGTTTGAGATTGATGAGGATGTCACAACATGAGGAGACGGCTGCTTTCTCGACTCTGGCTGTCTGCGTTTCGTAGCACTATTGGTTCTACCGGTTTTGGTTGGGGTCACAACATCCGCCACTTCCTCTGCTTTCTTGGAACCCTCGTTGCTCGCTCCAGAAGACGACAATTCAGATTCTGGTTTTCTTGTTGTCTTTCTGGCCGCCGCCGCCGCCTTCTTGACCTGGACCACTAATACTCGATTTTGATCTTCTTTGTCTGCGACAGTCACGGTGGCAGATGACGATGAGATCTTGGCAGCTACAGGTGGTCTTGTTGACGGAGTGCTGGTACTCACCGACTTGGACTTTACAGAGTCAGGCTTGGGAGGTCTCTTGTTGGTTGTGGAATCCTTCGGCTTGGATGCCTTGACTGACGATGGTTCTTTCTTTTTAGCTGGTGGCTTGGCAGGAGTAATACCACTTTGTTTGGATACAGCTCCAGTGGTCAAAATGCTGCCCACGCCCAACATCTTGAGCAAGTCCTGCTTGTTCTTACCCGAGAGTCCCTTGGCGACTAGTCCGGCCTGTTGATGCCGAGCCATGATTTCGTGGGTCAGTTGCGCAATGGTCTGGCTGGAAGATACCAGGGTCAGATTCGACAAGTCTTGTTCCGTGGCTTGAGGACTTGTGGACCAGATAGAATGCTCACCCAGCTGCTCCACGAACCACGCCTTGGGTTTGTTGGAGGCTCCCTTGGTATCGGGTTGTCGGTGTAGAAGCTCGTACGTGAGCTGTGCGACCGTCAGCTTGGTGGATACTCTTGGTAGACTCGCAAGGTCAATATCCTTTGTTTCGCGGGTGGATGACGCAGTGGGAGACTTCTTCTTGACTGATGTGCCTTTTTTAGTAGCCGACTGTTTCGGAGTGGCCTTGGCGGCGGGCTTTTTCTTGGCTTCGGCTGGTTTCTTGTTGGGAGTTTCCTTGGTTTTAGCAACTGGTTTTTTGTTAGCAGCAGGAGTCATTTTCATGCTCATTGTTTGCCAAGTTGATCCGACGCCCAATTGCTCCAAAAGCCAATCCTTGTTCTTTCCGGAGAGGCCTTTGATGCCTCGCGTTTTGCACTCTTCCTGAAGCTGCGACACTGTCATGCTGTCGCTAATCTTGAGTGTCGCGGCATCATCGGCGTTTCCTCGAGAGGACGCCTTGGGCTTGGCTGGTGGTGTATTGTCAGACTTGGCAGAACCTTCATCGGTGAACCAGTTCGAGAACTGTTTCATTTTCTTGGCCGTAAAGGGCCCCAGAACATACCACGCCTTTGCTTGTGGATCCCACTTGGCACCGGCCTCTTTGGCTTGATCTTTTTCATCAAAGGGACAGATCAGGTAGAGACGACCATTGTGAGGGATCCAGTGGCTGAATTTGGTCAAATTTGTATAGTGCTTGCGCGGAACGAACCACTGCTTTGCAGAACCGTCCCATTGAGCTCCTAGCGCCTTGACTTGATCCTTTTCTTCGTAAGGACAATCCAAATAGAACTTGTTGCTGCCTGACATGGTGATGGACTTGGACGATCGATCGAGATGGGGGGTGGGTTGATTGATTGAATGAAAGCAAGGATCTGTTCCCTCGTCTCTTTCTTCTTCGGGCTTCCAGGTTTTCTCGTAAATTCTGAGAACCTCATCTTTTTGGCCCGGACATGGTGCGGGCTTCTTTCGTGCGAGCCGTTGAAAAGAGAGCGTAAAAACTTCAATTTCCTGCCAGTGAAACATGCTTCAAGTCATGAGAGAGTTAATCACGAGGGAGTAAAGGCATCCGTTTACGTTTAACGTTTAGTGCGTTCATGCGATGTCTCTCACAACTTTTGCAAACCTGAAGGGAAGGACCTTGAGCTGACCGAACCACAACCCCATTGTGAATGACGAGAATAATTGTGGCCGTGCGAAGGCGTGTCGTCTCTGTCTTTCTTGGATCCGGTCGGTCGAATAATGATGACTTTGTGATGGTTTCACTCTGTCAAAATCGTGACCTCGAATCTTGTTTCCTTCTCAAGCTCTCATCACCGCTCCCCTCTTCTCTCTTGAGCTTCACAGATCGATCCTTCCGCCGACCCAACCACCACCATGACCCGATTTGTGTTGCTTGTCCTCCTCTTGCTCTGTGCTACGGCGAATGCGGCCAAGCCGAAAAGATTTCGCCAGCGCCGCCTTGATTCGGGAGAAGAAGTAGTAGTGGAGTGCTGTGCCTGTGGACCAGACGACCAGGGCTACACCGAAGGCTTGGAGCTGTGCGCTGTCTTTGAATACTATGATCTCCTCTCGAATTCTGCCACGCTCTTTTGCGTCGACGATATTGCCTTTTACGATGAGGACTATGACGAGAACTGGCAATTCAAATTGGAGGATCCCAACTCGGCTATTGGATGGCTGGATGACAGTTGCGAAGAAGACGAAGACGAGTAGGGTGAATTTTATTCCCTGACTGCAATAAGAGGGGGTTGAATGGTGTGAAACTGTTATGCACAGCATGCTTGGGTGGAGCAAGGGTGGTGATTATGGGTTGCTAGTAGCATGCAATGATGGAGCTGATAGATCTTTCTAAAGGATGATGGTACCGATAGGTGAAAGAGGGAGGACGACTTTAAGAAAAAGTAGATTGACTTATAATGTACACGTAGGACCAAGAATCTTTGAACAGGTAGAAGTAGTGCTTGACACACAACCAGCCACAAGAACCATAAAATACCACTGTGCTGTGTACTGGTGCCGCGCGCGTATGCAATTGTCTAAGTTGTGTCTAGCTAGCTAGTTGGGAGGACGACCATTCCATATTATGGTTAGCCCATTGGAGAAGCAGCCAGCGCCACATGTCGATTTGACAAGCTAGTTACTTCATTCTATTGGCACCCCTGGATACGAGCTTACATCAATCCCACCAAATGCATTGGCAGCCTCAGAGCAAAGTCTTTTCAAATCCAATTTTCTGGCTGCTGCAGAGCAAGTAATTTCATCCCATGGACATACGGTACATTCTCATGAGCATGTACCTGGTACAAGATGTCCATTTGCCGCAGCGTAAGCGGTATGTAAATTCATCCCAGGGGAAATCAGCATTATAAATTTATCTGTTCTCAAAAGCATGTTTCCGCATTCCAGAACTTGCATTCCGTGGACGTCCTGGTATGATAGTGATACTGCTTATTTGCTGTTGGGGGGCAAAAAGCAAGCAATAGCCGAAAGGCAACGGTCCTCACCAAGTATCGGTACATTGTCGCTTCGCCCAGCGCCCTCCCTCCCCATCGGGCTTCCTCCGGTCGCCCAGCGGGCCCTGCGTTTGGCCGGTCTGTTTTTAATAAGGACTCGACTCGACTCCTCGTCCAGTCTCTTCTTCAGCATTTTCATGTAAAGATTGTCGTGATTCAGTAACACCGAGACTTGCAAACTTTGATTTGATATCCAGAAAGGGTGCCCAAGTAGCGGGTGTAAGCTTCTCCTCCAATTTGTGTGCAGAGTTGAAATCTCTGATTTTGACCCTGAAAGCGTCACCGTCCTTCTTCCACATGAAGTTTGACAAGTAAAGATCCATGTGGACCACACCCTTCTCATGCATATCAGCAACAGCCTTTTCCATTTCAGAAATCAAAACACGTCTGTCAGAAGCATCATGTGGGAACCCAATGCAATATCTGTGTCCTTGCACTCGAACAATGACGTAATGACGAAATTGCATTGCGACTCCTGAAGTTGTTCCAGTGGCCCAGAGTGAAAATATGCCCCTGGGAAGCTGCCGGTGTTGGAAATACCACCAGTGAGGCCAAGGTCGGCAAGCGACCGTCTAGTATTCTTGTCTCCTCCATCCTTGAAGATTCGTTCGGTGGTCACTTGCCCTTCAAACTGCGTCGCAATAAAGTCCAGGTGGTGGGTCTGAACTGTTCTTGATGTCGGATCTTTGCTGGTTTCCGGCACCGATTTCAAATTGTAAGATGTTCCGGTAGCAAGGAGGCCATTGACTAGAATATCAATTTTGCGCTTGTCCTCGTCGCTGGGATCGAACTCGAATATGCTAGTGAAGTGCTCTTTGACATGCTTTGGAACCAGGTGCTCGCGGAAAATGGGAGGCATGGTCGCAACTCCTGCCATCGTGCGCGTCCCACAGGCCGCAAAGGACGAAGCATTCGCTTGGTTTGGTTCTGCAGTTTTGTAGCGTTTGTCTTCTTCGTCTCGAAGCTTTGCTTCAGCAGCCCGTTTTTCTCTCGAAACGTGCCGCTGAAATGATGTCTTCCTGAAGTTTCCAACAAACCAACTCCAATCATCGTCGTCATCATGAATGCTATTCATATTGTTGTCAATCCATTTCCAAGCATCTGACATTAGAACTCTTCGCGCTTGTGGAAAGATGTTCGTTTCGTTATCGAAAGCAAAGAAATCAACCTGCCCAAGCCCCGCCGAACCGTGGAACAGGTTGATATCATCTACTCCCCTGCTTTCCAGAGCTCTTTGTTGGTCTTCTGTCAAGCGTAATACCTTCACCAAGTGATTCCACCCTTTGTCCCCGTCGTCCATGGTGTCTGATAAGTTGATTGCTTTTGGGTATGATATCCGCAGCGAATGATTGATTGTTGACGATTGTCACGCCTCTAAAGACTTTTTGTCAGTGAACGAAAACCTTCTCTTGCCTGTTTGGCGATTCGTCGATCGCCCCCTTCTCGTCCCTACCGGTACATGTACTATACAGGAACACGTCTCCTCTGGTTAAGAGGCGAGATGGCTACTTAGAGCGAGACTGGCCGGGCGAGAGCGGAAAGGAGAGCCAACGGCTCGGAACGCGCGAGACCGGCCAGGCGAGATCTAAGTGACAGCGAGACTCAACCAGCGGAGATGTGTTAATGTTGGAACCAGTGAGAAGCGCCACTTAAGTAACAAAATGTGAGCGTTAAAAAGTGTCAGTCCGGACTTGTCTCCAAAACTTCAACCTGTGTAGCAAATGTACCAGAGGCTACACAGACTGCACCAATTTCTTCGAGACGGGTTCCATACTCTTTTGGCTGGGAATCTCGACTACGAAGCGAAGCAATGCTGCGGGAAGTGCTCCGAAGCACTTGGAACCCGTCTCGAAGAAATTTGTGCAGATTACGTAGCCTCTAGTACGTTTTCTACAGAAAGTTGAAGTTTCGAGGAACCTGTCTGGAGTTGAAAAGGTCCGTCTGGAGTGACATGTTAACGGTCACAAAATCAAAATTTAACTGGCGCTTTCTGTTACTTAGGTGGCGCTTCTCAACTGGTTCCAACAGGAACACGTCTCCGCTGGTTGAGTCTCGCTGTCACTTAAGTCTCGCCTGGCCGGTCTCGTGTGTTCCGAGCCGTTGGCTCTCCTTTCCACTCTCGCCCGGCCAGTCTCGCCTTAAGTGCCATCTCGCCTCTAAACCAGAGGAGACGTGTTCCTGTATAGAACTGGGACTGACCAAAGTCTCGCGACGACGAGCACCAAACCATGACGAGAGCCCCTGAAGTGCCCCAAATACAATACAATGGACTGCTATCTGGCCAGTCAGTCAGCTAGCTAGATGGGCTACCATACGGTGCTAGCTAGCTATGGACAAAGCAAGTTATCCCCCCTTACAGACTAGCTAGCTACCGGTAGCTAACACACCATTTTGCTGTTTCGAGCAAGCAACATGCTGCGGTGAGAGGTTTGCAATACACGGCTCTTAGCCTTATTCGCGACTCGATCCTAGATAGTTTGAGTTCGACTCATGACTGAGTCTTTCGTGAATAGTCATTGAGACAGGGTTCTCATGACCTAGTCATACTAGGTGATGTGAAACATCGCGCAGATATTTAGCTGGCGTGGAGAGATTCCACGCTACTAGATAAATGCTAGACGAATCTCCACGCGTTCCGTTTTTGGATCGTGGAGTGAGTAGGATCGCTACCGCAACCTACTCTATCACACTCTACAGTCTCCCGCGGGAGTTCAGATCTACGATCCTTTGATTGTGGATCTCTCTCGTTGATTAGTTTTCATAGCTTTCTAATCCTCTCATAACTTTCATTCTCTCAAACTCAAAACACTCGAAAAAACTTTACACTACTTTTAGGTAGTGCATTTTGTTAACAAACACAATAGCTTTCAGCTACCCTCAACCTATTCCTCAACATGAAGATTGCCAAAGAAGCATACACAGCTTCGAGTTAAGCTGCGTGACAAACCAATCCTTCCTCTCACGACCTCGATGATGAATGCGAAATCGACGATTCTCGCTCTACCACCTACAAACTTCGCACTATTCCAGCAGATGCTAACAGCGCCAAGTACACCTTCAAGGTCCAAATCATCAATGGATCTGAGACTCCACGTCAGACCATCAAGTGGGCTGGACGTATGGAGAAGGTCTTCGTCGGGCTCGCCATTGCTACGCCTGACGACAAACACAACCTCCTCAGGGAGATGACTTCTAGCTCTGCCAAGAGCAGTTACGAATCTAGCTGTGCAGGCCACCGTGAAATACGTTGGAATGCCTTGCGCCAGATTGCAGTCAACGCGATTCCTCCTCGCGACATACGTGGCGGTGAAGACGAAGCCACTTTCCAAGCACGTTTCCAGGCTGCCTGGAACGGAGCAGCTCAGCCTGCTTTGGACGACGCTGACATTACGTTTGGCATAAATGCCTGTATCGAAGCGGTCTGTCCCTACAAGGCTCTTGAAAAGCAGAAACGCTTCATGCGCCGCAAGATGCGTAAGCCTGCTGATATGTCTACTCGGGCTTATGTCAAAACCTCAGTCGGATGAACACCGATGAACTTCCTCGTCTACCACTTTTGGACCCAACCAAACATTGAACCATGACAAGTCATTGACATTGTTTGTCATGGAATTCCATGCTCGTGGATGAAGAAGATGGACGAAAACGACTTCGATCCTTTTCAGCTCCTATGGAGAAAACATTGGATTCTGCGAACGCATGGAATCCTCCGAAGACTTTGACAAGGGCGTGATCCAAGCAAGCTCCTCAAGAAAACAACAGCAAGAATACAAGTCTACTCGCAACAACGACCACTCTTCCAAGAACGAAGAGAAATGGTGCGACTACCACGAGTCCAGCACTCACAACACTGCTGACTGCATGACTTTGAAGAAGCTCAAGGCCAAGTCTCAGTCCTCGTCTGACAACGATAACAAGCCAACGTACAACAAGAACAAGACTTGGAAACGCAAGTCCGACGACGCCAGACCTACACCAAGAAGGAACTCTCTGTCCTCATGAAGAAGGTTTCCAACGCTGCGGTCAAGGCTGATCGCAAGAAGAAAAGCGAATGCAACCATGTTGCCAAGCGCAAGTCTGACAACTCCGACAACGAGGACGACTCCTTGTTGGATCCATCAACATGATGGACAAGAAGATGGCCGCTGCGACAAGGCGCTTGCCGAATTCGACTTCAATCATTCGGATGGAGAGATCTCCGTCTGAGGATTAGGCCAGGATGATGATTCAACGGAACCATGTTTCCGATTTCTCAATACCTAAGTGATGAAGATATCTCACTAAATAGTAAAAAAGTTTGTTTGCAACTAACGAAGTCTACGGAATTAGAAATTTCCTAGAACTGCTCAACTAGACACTGACGATCTGTTCAGCATCGTTAACTTCGTCCATGGCCAATCAACTCATCAACGTCGCACGACAAGAGACCTTGAAACTATCGTCTATGTTAGATTTAACAGACGAGCGAAAGGGAAACGAAAACCCGTTACACTCTGTTGCTTACTGGATACAGAAGCATCCGGAACTTAATTGCTCAACTCATTGCTAAGAGTTTACTCATGAAGAATCATGGGGGCGTCCAAACATTGCGGACTGCTTCTATGAAGGAATTGAGACCCCGCACGAAGAGTAAGGGCACACTCGCGATTCTGAGTTCCACGATGGTAGATTATCAAGTGGAATTTACACGTCACCAGAACTTGGGGGCGCAAGACGGATCATAGGTCAAGACACTCTCTCGATCTAAAGAATCAAGTTTGATTTCACTACCATGTCATTGGGGTGAACCATGCATTTTTCCCGGCAAAGAGAGCAACACCAATAGAAAGGAGAACTTCTCCATTTCCGATTCTGCACTGTCAGCGACAATGCAAATAGTCTCAAGAAGATTCTTGATACGACATACGAACAAATAGGCTTAAGGCAGATATGCCAGAGTCGAAATCCGTTAAACAAGGAGGAGCAAGAACTGCCTCATGCCTTTTCAACCAAGTGCTTCGACCCAGTCGAGGATACTTTGGGAGAGGTTGCGAAGGGACGACTACGAAGTAGAACTTCGTCCGACGTTAAATCCTATACACTAGGGCTCACCCTACTCCACGGGTCCATCCAACACTCTAAGAAGGAGGTTGAACGTCTCTGCGAAACAGGGGACTAAGAAGGTGAATCGTTCAAGTGGGCGGCACCAACTTTTATCGTTCCCAAGAAGAGGGATCTGCACGATTCACTCGGCTTTTCGGGAACCACAAAACGGATCAAGCGGAAGCTTATCCTATCCCAAAGATAAGGGACATGCTCTTGAACCCGATGGATTCAAGTGCGCCACCAGCTAGACCTGAACACGGGACAATACCACATCGACTGTCACTCACTCGAAGAACACTATGCCATTGCATATGCCATTGCACTCCCGAAGGGAAAGCACGAGTACCAGAGGTTGCCAATGGCCTATGTAATAGTCCCGACATCTTCCAAAGAAAGATGAAAGCACCCATGCATGACTTAGAAATGTTCCGTGCATACGTTGATGTCAACTCATCCTAACGGACGTCGATTCTCGCAGATCGCGTTGAACAGTAGGATGACCTTTCCCAAAGACTTCAAGAAGTCGGGATTGAAATCAACATACCAAGGCCTTCCTCGATAGGAAGAACTGGAGTATCTAGACAATTGGACTTCTCGAGAAAGAAGCCAACTCTTAACTAAAAACATAACAGAGATCCAGCTATCGCTCTTCTACCAACAGGAAGTAACGTCGTAGATTCATTGGACCAATGAACTACCAAGGGCTGCTCCAAGACAGCAGACGGAGTAACCATCGTCTGAACCAGACGTGGGTTACCCAGTATCCATGACGGTCGTCATGGACAAGAGAACGTGAATCCCGCGTAGAGGTCGAGAAGACTCTCCGGGATGAACATGGACTTCGTGCAAGTTCACGCGCGTCAATCGTGACAAGCTTCAACACATCCGTTTCAAAGCAAACCGGAAATACATAAGGAACGTCCCAACGACTTATCCAGAAAAAACACCGATAAGGAGAACACGCAGTGTCCCTCATCAACACCATGTCAACGACACTTGATGATTCATCAGTATCAGAACCGTTAATACGGTCAGCCAAGCACAAGGTCCTTACCACACAGACCGAGTCAATAACAATGGCACTGTAAGGCTCCGACATACTACCGCCAATAGCCGCACAGTCTACCAGACTTGGAACATAAGGTATTTACACCCATACAGCCTGATCCCCTTGTAGGATTGCCATCGTGCGACGCACATGTCTACATCCAATCTCCGGAGAGTGCCCCGCACTTTAATTCATATGTTCTCCTTGTCCGACTGTGTCGTGCCTTCCGTGACCTTGTCAGGGGGCGAATGCAAAACACGGCTCTTAGCCTTATTCGCGACTCGATCCTAGATAGGGTTTGAGTTCGACTCATGACTGAGTCTTTGTGAATAGTCATTGAGACAGGTTCTCATGACCGCTAGTCATACTAGGTCGATGGTGAAACATCGCGCTAGATATTTAGCTGCGTGGAGAGATTCCACGCTACTAGATAAATGCTAGACGAATCTTCCACGCGTTCCGTTTTTGGATCGTGGAGTGAGTAGATGCTACCGCAACCTACTCTATCACACTCTACAGTCTCCCGCGGAGTTCAGATCTACGATCCTTTGATTGTGGATCTCTCTCGTTGATTAGTTTTCATAGCTTTCTAATCCTCTCATAACTTTCATTCTCTCAAACTCAAAACACTCGAAAGATCTTTACACTAGCTTTTAGCGTAGTGCAGGTTCTTGAGGAACGGTGCAAGGCGACTTTCCTTCATACGCCCCACATCCACTTCTGGCTGCACTCTACTAGATTGATGAACCAAGCAAGCCATCAGCTACGAATATACGAACCACTCGGACTGCAGGTTGGCAGCCAAGTACTGTATCCAGCCAACGAGCCAAGTCCAAACCGTCCCTGGTTGGTACCGTCCAGCAAGTTGAATACCTTTGGCCAGACTGGAATGAACAAGTCAAGTCTATGGCGGCCCCGGATTAAATTGTGAGTTTTCAAATAAGTTGTTGGGTCGGCGGCCAAGGTGGTACTAGCTAGCTAGTACCGAATAGACTCGAATCGACTCCACTACCGGCTACCGGTACTGGTACCACGCAAAGGAAGGAATGTTGCTTGGGGAAACTGCATGATTCAGATGATGATATTTGGGGGAGCTTTTGGGGGTATTTCAATGGCTCGTGCCCTTTTTCGTTCCTACGGTCACTGGTACATTACATGTCCTTCTCTCCAAACCTGAAGGTAAGAAACTCCAAATAAGAAAGCGAGTACTCAGATTTTAGAAAAAGATAAGAATCTTTCTATACTGAAATATCACAAACTTGTCAGAAAGCTTCCCAGTATTGATACCTCAAAGCACAATAAATACTAGTCTGACACCATGAAAATGCTCCTAACTTGTGCCTTTAGAAATCTGCAAAAATTTTATGCCTGGTGGCAGAGACAGTGATCACCACTTTTACTTGATCCAAACCAATTAATAATAAGAGTCCTGAGCAAGTTGGACCCCAAGGCCCAGGTGCACTGGGTGTATCCAAACACTAAACTGCTTGATCTAGAAGCTTTTAGTAAGAAAGTCTTCTATACTGGAATTGGCTTGTTTGGTTAGAGCATTCAACAACGGGACCACCCATAGCACAAAACTCAAATGGTTGGCATCGAGTATCGCCGGCCGACCTGAGTCGACTGAGTCAAATGGGTTTAGCGACCATGTGGATCGATTTGCGTAAGCCACATCGGAACTGTTTGGGTAGGCCCAACAGCCGACCCAAACCCATTTGACTCATTGGATCCAAATTTACTTAAGGAGAAGAATTGCCCTAACATCACAATAGGAGCATTGAGGTTCTCTTTCGCGAGCAAGCATAGCCTAGCAGCGAGGATGGTCAACCTCCAACCATTTGTGCTATCCGTGGTCCCGGTGTTGAATGCTCTTATTAGAAATAAAATGAGTGGCAAAATAGAGCACTTGGCTAAGAAAGCTTGAGTACTGATGACTCCCAGTTAGAGCTTTCTTATTATTGAGTTTGGAGTGTATTACCATCCCAATTCCAATTAATTGTCACTAACCTGGCACTTTAGAAGGGAAAGCGGAACGGCTCAAGGCTTTGACGAATGTGGGACGACAAGATCCTTTCGGTTGGTTCCCGTAAATGAGACCGTCGCTGTCACAAAAGAGGTCACTTTTACTTAGATGAACCCGTCACACGATCTTTCGTGTAAATGGGACAAAGCATCCTGCTTGGGCACTCGCAACTGTACCAGTTCTTACCCTCCTTAGCAAGCATCTGGACGATAGATCTAATCCATTGATTACTATTTTCATTGGCTTGCTTGCTAGGGTGTAGTAGCCAGCTGCCGTTTCACTTGCAAAATAATTCGTGGAGTCGAGTCGAGTCGAGTCTGTCTGTCTTTGTGAGCGATCGCAGTTATGATTTAGGAATAAAACTGAAACATGCATGGACCCTCGGCACTCGGAGTGAGACCCGATCTTGGCGGTGCTCCCAAAGCTTTTGTCCTCGCTCCCCCCTTTTTAGTCTGATGAGTCAACGAACACTTTTTTCTTTTTTGGCGTAGGAAGCAGGGTTGCATGCACAACAAACAGCACGAGAGCTCATTATTTTGTTGGCAGTATCCAGCGCAGCCTGTCTCTTGGTTACGTGTATCCTGACCAGTCTATCCAGTGCCCAAGAACAAAGAGACGTCTGAAGAGGACTACCGGTATGTAGATGAGATTCTTCTCCTATTATTATATCCCAACAACAACAACCACAAGAACAAAGAAACATGACCACTCTACCCTATAGCACTGTGCCTCTATCGCCTTTGGCGATGATACCATTGGTGGCAGTCATATGGTTTGTGCTTCCGCTGGAATACCGTGATATCTTTGTCAGACATGCCGTTATCTTGGTAGGGCTTTGGCAATTGGCGGCCGCTAACAGCGCCACCGGGTGTCTGCGAGCAGCGACTACTACTACTACCACCGACGAGGAACCGCCCGACGAACTAGCCCTATCCGAATCGTCAATCTCCACAACCTCTTCTTCCATGTCTTCTTCCATGTCCTCATTTACTAGCAGTAGAAGAAGAACCAGGCAACAACGCCGCCGTCAAGTGAGTTTTGGAGCTGTGGAAATCCTCGAGTTTCCCACCATTCTCGGCGACAATCCCAGTACACGAGAAGGAGCTTCGGTAACGTTGGATTGGAAATTGGTGCGTCGCTTCCGCAAACACGTCGACTACATGCCCGAACGCACCGTGCGACCTCGTGCCGTGCCATCCCGTCAACGAGAGCTGCTACTCTTGTCGCGGGGATATTCCTTCTTGGAACTAGATATGGCCGCCCAGCGAACGTACGAACGACAAAAGGAACTCCGGCAAGCCAAGTCGGTTCCCAACACCAATACTCCCTTTTTGGCATTCAAATCCAAAGTCCGAATGATGGTAACACATCGAAGGAGGAACAACAACAACAACACAAACAGCAACACTACAGCCAACTGTAGTTCCACTCGAACTGTCGGTTGCAGGACATGAAGGAAGGAATGAGTATCTCCAACCACCTACCGTAGCTGGGAGAGTCGATCCGTGGGGATCCTCTTGGTTGCTGGGTAGCTTCGGGTACAACCATTCTAAAGGGGGGCGGGTCCTTCTGTATTCTAAATATTCATCACACAAGATTGTGAATTGTACAATAAATAGATCAATAATTTGGGAGAGTAATAACAATGTATATCTACACATCCACAACATATACATATATATATCTACACATCCGACAAAACAGCTTTGGATTTTAATTAAAATAGCACAAAGACATCACAATGCAAACGTCCGCGTATTGACCATGTAGGGGGAATCAAAGTCGGTCATTTGACCCACTTGTTTCCCTTCAAATGGCAACACGCGACAACTCAATGGTTTGTTCCATCGTGCCGCCAATCCGGCCACATCCAATATCAATGCCGTCAAACGATCCTCTGAAACGTCTCCCGCCAAGGGAACCGTGTCAATGCCTACACCGCAGACACTGCTAATCGATAACAGATCGGCAATTTTGATGTCAGCAGAAGTAGCCAATGCCGCCAAGCGATGATCTTCGCAGACGGGCAACATGAGACCGCAATAGCCAACAAGTTGAATGTCGGGCAGGGATTGGAGGGCCGTCGTAATGGCGGCGGCCGCGGCAATGGTACCGGGACCACCGAATTGGTCCAATTCCGACAGGCATTCGATGGCGGCCGCCACCGAACCATTGTCGGCGTCCAACGATGGATTCAAGCTGGTATCCATGCCGAGATAGGAATACTCGTTAATGTCGGCCACTTGGAGACAGAGGTCTGGAGAGTGATTGATTGATTGATTGATGCAAAGCAAATAGTAACGGATTAGAAATTCAATCCAACCTGCCTGCCATGGCAAACGACCCTCTATAGATCTGCTACAGTACTAGTACTTACCTTGCAGAGGTGACAATGTGGATGCCATACCCTCTTTGAACACCGTTGGGACATTGGCAATCGACCCAGCCTGGGACAACCAGTGATGGGCCAGTGGTCCATTTTCCAAACCAATGGCAAATCCAAGCTGTATACTATCATCGCCATCAGTGTCATGGCAAGATGCCGCCTTGGCGACGGGGAAAAAGGGAATGCCCGGTGGACAGGTGGCTGCCGCGGCACAGAATCGAAAATTGCCCAATCCATTGGCCATCCCGGCAATGTGTCGCATACAGTGGGCGGCAGCACGAGCCGCCACTACATCTCCCGCTGCTACCGTGGCCGAACACGACACGTAGGGACTCGTCTCGACAATCACGGCGCACAAAGATTCAATTTCGGCAATGCTTTGAGCCGGTCCCACGGCACAAAAGGCAATGCCATTGATATCCAACAATTGATTCAAACAGCAGAGGCGTGCCTTGGCGGTTTCCATGTCGTCATGCGATAACCATTCACCAAACGGATTGGTTGCTATTCGCACCGTTTGAACTTCGTATCCAGCTTGTGTCAGTTCGGTTTGCAGCGTCTCCAATAGTGCCGATGCCTGGGAGATCTTTTCGGCGGCTTTGGAGGAAGACAGTAGATTATTGTCATCTTGCTGTTGTTGTTGTTGTTGTTGTGATTGCGATGGCAAAGAGACGGGAAAATCTTGTGGCTGGAGGGACAAAAAGGCTGTCACGGTTCTTACACGAAACAAAAGTGGTGGTTTCATCTTGTCAAGCTATAGCCTACAGTAATGTATCGATCGGTTCGGAACTGTTCCTTTGCACAATGTCTTGGTCAATTGTGTTCAATGTTCATGCAATGGGCCCATCAAAATCTACTGCCGTACTGTCATCTTTGGGGAGCTTATTGAGATTGTGACGGAACAAAGATCCAGCCGTTGCATTGTCCTTTGCTTGCTACAAACCAGCAGAGCTTCTTGTAAAGCCAGACGTGACCCTGGCTCCTCTTGTCTGCCAGAGATTACAAACCAACAGAGCTGTCATTTTGAATTCTCATGTCGCAGGGCGGAGTTGACCGTCTCATTGGAGGGCGCAACTCCAACCAATGATGATGCATGTGTCCACATGCCACATGAGCTTTTTAGTCGACACAATTGTGAGAGCATCACGCAAGATCATTTATTTCTCCAATTTTTGGAATTGCAACTCACGCACAAGATCCTTGTTGTCATTCCGTGTTTCTGTAGACAACAACAATCATTACAAGCAACCATGACTACTACAGACGATGAAGAACGAGCGGGCGACGAGGGAGTGATTGACGACACTACCAATAAGAATCATGAAAAAGCGTCTGGTTGCTCGACTGCCAAGTTGGCCGTGTTGGCGTTGGTGCTGATGGCCTTGATTGGCGCCATTGTGGGTGCGGTGGTCGGGACTCGCAAATCCAAAGAGGACGAGTCGTCGGTACAGAGCAGTAGTACTACTACTCTGGATGATAGTAGTACTATGACGGTGGACGAGATTACGGCCAGTCCTGCCGATACGTTTACAACTGTGGCTCCTTCGACTCCCACTGGTACTCTGTCTCCCGACACGGGTACCTTGGTGACGGCCTACAAGGCAACACTACCGTCTTTTACGCAAACCAGTCTGGAAGATGACACTTCGCCTCAAAGTCGCGCATTCACGTGGGTGACGTTTCACCGCGACTTTACCACCATGCCCGATTGGCGCCGCAATCAACTCTTGGCACTCTCCACTTTCTATTACTCGTTTGGAGGAAATGGATGGGGTCGCGCCGTGCAAAATGCCTGGTTGGATGATACCACCAATGAATGTCAATGGATCACTCCGGCATTTCTAGATTCCTTTAGTGTAGGAGGAGCCGGAACTCACAATCTAGGACAAGACAGTGTTCTCGCGACTGGCACCACTACGGCTGCCGCTACAGCACAACTCCCCACGTGCAATGATGCGGGAGAATTCCAACATCTCTCCCTCAGTTATTTGGATGTTCGTGGCGGCCCCAATGCCGTCATGCCACCCGAAATTTCCCTCTTGACTTCGTTGGAAACCATTGACATTCGCAATGGCAATATTACCGCCGTTATTCAAGATTTGATCCCTTCCCAATTAGGCGACATGCCCAAACTTACCACACTCGATTTGGCCGCCAATGCCATTCGTGGAGAACTCCCAGCCGACGTGATTGGATTGTTGACCAACTTGCAGACACTCCAATTGGGACTCAATTCCATCATGGGAGAAATTCCGTCCGAATTGGGACTCTTATCGTCCAATCTGCAAGTATTGGGATTGTCTTCCAATCAATTCATGGCACCCTTTCCCGATGCGACTCTGGCGCAATTGGTGAATCTACAAGAATTGTATTTGAGCCACAACAAATTTGTGGGTCCAGTTGGTGCCGGTTTTGGAATGGCATTGACCAATCTTCGCATGTTGCATCTCAATGACAATTGGTTGGCGGGACTTCCGACGGAACTTGGTCTCCTCACGCAGTTGCAAGAACTGATTGCCGATACCAATCCCATGCAGTTGCCCTTGCACCCCGAACTGGGCAATATTGGAGCATCCCTTCGGACATTGCATTTGAATGGGTGTGGATTCACCGGAGCCATTCCCAGTGAATTTGGACAGTTGGTTGGATTGCAGAGTCTGCAGCTAGACAAGAATGCTCTTGCGTCCAGTGTCCCTGTTCAATTGGGCAATCTCGTTCAATTGACCAATCTCGAATTTACTGATAATCAATTGACTGGTACGTATATCGCAACCAAAAGCAAGATGCTTCGAAAAAGTGCCCAATTTGTACCTTACCATGTATTCCTTGTGCTGTTCTGTTCTGAAGGTCCCATCCCATCCGAGTTTGGTCGCTTGACAGCCTTGACGTCGCTTCTCGTCGGAAACAACGGATTGACAGCCATGCCCACCGAACTGGCCAATCTCAAAAATTTGGTCGAATTGGGAGCCATTACCAATTGGTTGGAAGGAACCATTCCTTCCGAGTTTGGTACCATGTCCAATCTCAAACGATTAATGTTGAGTGACAACAACCTGGGAAACACCATTCCTACCGAGTTGGGTCTAATGTCCGACATGGAATGGATGTATCTCAATGAGAATCAGGTGAGTTGTCGAGTCAGTCATTTTATTTGGAACAGGACCGAGCCTTTCGGATATTGTGGCTCACAGCGTCATGAATTCATGAATATGTATAGTTCACCGGCACGGTCCCCACCGAGTTGGCCATGCTGTCCAAGCTTCAGATTCTCTTGCTCAACACCAATCAGTTGGATGCTACCATCCCTACCCTCTTGGGACAACTGACCTCTCTCGTGTGGCTGTATCTGCATCTCAATTCGTTCACTGGTAAGTTTGTTTGTTCGTTCGTCCAAAGGCACAATGTAGAGATTCCACCATGCATGCAGGTGTCATTCCTCACGTTCCATTCTCTCCAACTCCGACAGGTGGCATTCCTACGGAACTGGGCATGCTGACATCCATGGAAGAATTCTTTGCGCGACAAAACGCATTGACGGGGCCAATCCCAACAGAGCTGGGTGCCATGACCAACATGCACAAATTCAATTTGAGAAACAACCTACTGAGCTCTCGCATTCCCTCCGAGTTAGGTCTCATGGAGAACCTGCACTGGTTCATCGTGAGTGGAAACGCCCACACCGGTCCCATCCCCGAAGAGATTGCCAGCTTCCCCAACTTGTCCGAAATGTGGCTCCAAGACAATGAATTGACCGGAGAACTGCCTGCCAATCTGGGATCCTTGGTCTCGAGCAACAACTCATTGATTGTCTTCAACATTACCAACAATCCCGGCCTTGCCGGAGAAGTCCCCGCGGAACTCTGCACCTTGGCTTCGCTGTGGTTTGATTGCTCCGACAGTCTTTGTGGTTGTACCAAGTGTGCGTGCTCCAGATAAACGAACCGGATCAGGCATACAGCCCTGTGGTCCGCCGTACCTTGTTCCGGCAAGAGGACCTCGTAGAGGCGGCGGAAAGCAAAAACGCTCTCGGTGAATGCGTCACCGCGATGTATCAAAATTACATGTACAAGTGATCGCTATTGGAAGATCACACACTAAACGAAACAGGATAACAGTAACGGCTACCGTACTATAGACAGGTTAAGTTAGCTCAAATCCTGCCCCAGCCTCAATGGCATATATCAGCCGCTGCTTCATAACCTTTTCGCTGCTGTAGGTTGGGAGCTTCAAGGTATTGAAACAGGTGGAGGCTGTTGGCAAGAGGTCACCATCTCGCATGATCCCCACGCGTTGAATGGTAAAAGGAGGGTTCATGCTGGCAAAGCCAAGTGGAGGAGGACGTTCGCAGCTGGTTACAAAACGCAACAAGTCTGCTTGTTGCTTCGTGTTCAACGATGCCACGACGCTCCAGAAGCGACGAATAGTCGTTTCAATGCCCGTGTAGCCACCAATGTAACGTGAGTGGGCCCGCATATCCTCAACATCGAGGGCACCCCCTGTAGCGCCACTGATCAAAACCTGCAGTTCTGGCTCGTTAAAGAGCCGTAGCCATGACTTGTCAATGACATCCCACAGACCCCGAGTGAAGGCTTCTGATTGCTCCTTTACTCTGTCCACAACATAATACTTGGCCACCAAGCCTGTGTAAATAGCAAGGAGTTAGAGATCGTGTTTGAGTATCACAAATCGTAACACAAAGAATGTGCTCATTCATGTTCAGTCCGGGCTTACCAATGTAGTGTTGTTTGTTGGAATTCGTGACTTCCTTGTTGCCACCATTGGGTATGAGAGGAATCTGCTTGTTTCCACCAAACTCATCCACGGCAACCGAGAATGTCAAGCAAAGATCCTCGGCGTCGCCGTCGTATGTCTTCAAGAACATGAGATTAGTGTACAACTGCTTATCCACAGAGCCCAAATCGGGTAGCATGTGCAGATAGTTGTAGTCGCCCCGAAGAAACGAAAGGAAAAAGTGGGAGAACTGTGGGCTGATTGTAATGCCTTCGTAGAGAGCCTTGCCAAGAATGCGGCCCAGAAACTCAAAGAGAACAATGTGGGTTTCCGCACCATGCGCGGAACCAGACAACGGATTGGGGTACAAGCAGTTTTGTTCGTCTTTACAATCGAATGGAAATGCACTTGTGGTTGAGAAACAATGCAGGGCAGCAACCTGAATAGTGCACACACACAAAGAAGAACAACATGACTCACCTTCTGTGACGCGAAAGAGAGCATAGTTGGGATTGAAGGCAATGGCACACAAATCCGTCCAAAACTCCTTGAACAATCCGCCGGCATCGACACCACTCTCTCGCGCCCCTGCTTCGTTCAAGTACTGCACATTGATTCGTTGTCGCAGATTGCGTCCCAGTTTGTTCAATGTGGCCAACCCATCTTCCAACACTCTTCCCCTCATGATTTGCACGGGAATACCCGGTTTGAGCGGATTGTTGTTGAATGGATTGGCATCGTTGACTCCCTGCATCTCAATGCGACTGGTCGTCACAATC